TATCACCCCTATATAAAATATATATATACATATATATATATATATATATTTCTGCCTATTTATTCATGTATATTAATGCGTATATTTATTTATGTATTTACTAACTACTTAACTTATTTATTTATATTTATTTATTGACCTATTTATTGTTTTATTGATAGGCTTTCTATCTGGAAGCAAAGGAGGCGTCAGCGTTTGTTTGAAGATATGGAATCAATATTTTTGTTTTTTGGGGTGTCATATGCCTTCGACTTCTCCTGAAGTGAGCCGTTTAATTTAATTTAATTTAATTTAATTTAGTTTAATTTAATTCTTTTTAGTTCTCTTTAGTCGCTTTCTGGTGTATGTTTAGCGGGCGCTGTTATCATTGTCATCCAGACCTTAGAAATTAGCGGGGTAATAGGAATATGCACATATATATGCATATGTATTTATATATATAATATATATATTATATTTATATATAATATATATAATGATATGTATTAATAGAACATTATCTATATACACGTATTACAATATATATCTATATATATTATATATATATGCGTGTGTCTGTGCTTGGCTGTGTGCATTAATTAATTGATTAATTAATTAATAGGATAGAAAGAAAGCTCGAGGAGTAGTAGAACAGCGTTTGTTAGAGTTCTATGGCGGGGCTTCATCCTGGCTTGACGCATTTCATCATATATTATGGATGGGCGACTTCAACTTTAGAACACAGCGCATCTCTGTGCAGAGAGCAGGTATGTCTTGCTAATTATTTAATTGTTTAGTATTTATTAATTATTTATTTATTAATGTATTATCTAGGTGGTTAATTATCTATTTAATTAGCTCTTATTTGGTTGCTTAGGCGTTTATTTGTTTGTTTTTTTTTGTTTTTCGTGGTCTACATGCTGTAAGGTATATATATATGTATATTGCTGCTGCTGCTGCTGCTGCTGCTGTTGCTGTTGTTTGCTGCTGCTGCAGTGTCTCTGTTGAAGCAGTCTCCGACGGGTCTGTTAGCATTTGACGAATGGCTGGGGCCTCACGGTGAAGATATGCGGGCATCAGTGCGTAGTTTTTAGTTTTTGCTTTTTTATTTGTTTTAATTCTAATTTATTCTTGTTGCTTCCTTTTAAATATATCTTTATATATATATATATACATATATATATATATATATATATATAGGCGTATAGCTCAATATACTTAATGCTGAGGTGAACATACACCTGAGGATTGCATGCATAAATATGCAATTTGTGCATGCATGCACAGGGTTTTACAGAAGCCCCAATTCGGTTTCCTCCAACGTACAAGAAAGCAGACGGCAGACCTCCGATTGATTTAAAACGCTCCTCATGGGTTGAAGAAGAATATCAAACAGAGATGATAACGCAGTGGTATAAAGGGGCCAGGCATCAAGAGCGCATTCCTTCGGTATGTAAATACTGCTGCTGCTGCTGTTGCTGCTGCTGCTGCTGCGATTGCTGCTGCTGCATTTGCTGCTGCTGCGATTGCTGCTGCTGCATTTGCTGCTGCTGCTGCTGCTGCGATTGCTGCTGCTGCAATTGCTGCTGTTGCAATTGCCTTTATTTTTGATGCTGCTCTTGGTGGCGTTTTGGGTGCTGCTCTTGCTGCTGCTTCTACTGGTGCTGCTGCTGCTGCTGCTGCTATTGGTGCAGGCATGCTGCTAGCTGCAGCTGTCTCTATCTCTGCTGCTGCAGACTCTCTCCATGCTGCTGCTGTTGCTGCTGCTGTTGATAAGCAGCTAATGTTTATGTTGTTGTATTTATTATTTTGTGGTTGTTGCTGTTTCTCACAGTGGACAGACAGAATATTTAAATGCTCCTCAGCAGAAATCTCATCTCTCCTTCGCCTTCAGCCAGACACATACTTCTGTGCAATGCCCGACCACCCTTGTAAGCGAGGGTTTAGGGTTTAGGGTTTGGGGTTGTTGCCTCGTATCCATTATCTCTGAAGTTATTTATGTGCATGCATGCATAAAGAAGATGTACGTGCATGGATTGAGTGTTAGTTTTTCTGTTGCGTATCGAAAGGAGTATATTTATTAAAGTATTTCTTTTTTCTGTGTTTTGTTTGGGGTGTATGTGCAGCTTTCTTAATAGCGAGCGATCACTCGCCTGTGGGTTTGGGTTTAGAATGTTTTCCTCTTGATACTGCATTTTCTCTGCCTTCTGTATCGCTGAGTATTAAAGGCAATAGGAAGAGTAATAATCAAAACGCACAAAAAGTAGTTAATACCGCAGCAACAACAGCAATGAAAGAAACAGAAGGAGTAGAATATGATATGTACGCGGAGGGTTGACGTACATACACCCGGAGAAATGAAAAAATATATTCAAATATTGAATATTTAATGAAAATATATACAAATAAATATATTTATTCATTTAATTGTCGTAAATATATTCTTCTTTTTCTTTCTTTAGCTTCTAATCTTCACAATATGCAGCGGCTTCAACACCTCGCAGCAACTGGGGCTGTAGGCAGCAGCAGCAGAAATTAAATTTTCATGCGCTTGTTTAGTGCAATCTAACAAATAAACAAATCCTTTAATTTGATTAGTGGAAGACAAACGCGAGAAGAGCCGCCAAAGTTTCACTGTACGTACACCTGACCGCGCTACGGTGTACGTACACCTCACGCAGTTATTGTATTATTTATATGAATAATTAAATCAATAAAGAACCAAAAGAAAACATAGGAAGGCCGGAGGGGTTCGTTTTGTCGTCATCTCTTTGGATTGCAATTTCTTACAAATGATATTTCTTTTAAGAAGGGAAGCAGCGAAGCTGGCTAGATAGAAGAAGTATATTTGATGTTTTACCTATCGTTGTGTGTTTATTTATAGTTTATGTATGCATATATGCATGCGGCAATGCACGCATGCATCCATGCATGCAAGCTTTCATTCATCTCCAACAAAGATAAATAACGCATTATTTTTAAAATCTTGTGCAGCACTCCTGTTGCTGCTACTGTTTTTCTTTCTTAGCATCACGCAGACTGCAACAACACCCGCAGCTATGAACGGCAGCAACAGCAGGAAGCAGCGGCACGAAGAGCTCATAGAGAATACGCGCTGCAGCAACCAACAGCTGAAGCAGAGGCAGAAGCAGCAGTTGCTGCAGCACTTGCTGCTGCTTCTAGTTAGTGCGGCTCACCCACAAGGCAGAAGCCTCCCCCAAGCTGCTATTACTAAGCACAGACAGGTTGCTGCTGCAACTCGGCGTAGCAGATACGTGCATCACCCTGACAGCACAGCCGCTGAAAGACTGCAGATGAGGAGGAAAGAGGAAGAGAATAATAAAGAAACAAACGAAGTTCAGGTGTATAGACGGACGGGGGCTGCAGCACTTTCTTTTGACTCAACTCCCGTTTTGAGATCGCTGCATATATACACGAAAAACATCACCCACCCTAAATGCAACTGAAACAAACAGCTTTAGCCACAGTCTGTCCGTACACTTTATGAAGACAAATCATAGAAACATCATCAGAAAGCAGAATAAGTTTCAGGAGTAGATTCGGTGTACGTACACCGCAACAGTGAACGAAAGCTGTATTCCTTAACCACACAACTCAAGAGCACCACGAGGGCGATCCGCCCTTTTGTGTGCGTTAAAAATATTAAACTGAAGCTTTAAATTGAATTTAATGATTAATGAAAGTAACATATTTATTAAAAATTCAAGAAAACTCAGTTTTTCCTCCACTTCTCGCGTTCGTTGCGGCCGCCGACGACAACGGCGGTGGCTGCGCGACAGATTGAGAGATTTCGGGTTTACGGTGTACGTCCATAGGAAGTCTTTTTTTATTTTCTGTATATTCTATTTCCTTTTCATCACTTTCTTGTCATTCAGCAGCTTCGTGTTGACTCATTCTTCTTGACTTGTCCTTGCATGCTCGAGGCGGCGGATCTAGGTTTTATTGTTGTGGCTTCCGCTGCTTTTTCCGTTCGCCTTTCTTGCATTTAAGCTTCTCTTTCCCAAAAGAAGAGCGGCAGTCAGAGGAGGTACGCTTGTTTCTCTCGTGATTCTGCGGTGTACGCACACCTGCAATGCCCGACTCGCGCAGCAGCGGGCATCTCGGCCGCCGGCTGAGTTCAAGGGGTTTTTCTCCTGCTTCAGGCGAACGGAGTGACAGGAGCACAAGCCAATCTCCTTCTCGTGTGTCTGGGGGCCCCCTGAGTCCTCTGGGGGCCCTTCGTGAGTCTTCCAGCGCGTTTGAGGGCGCAGACGAAGGCATTTCTGTTGTCAGCACCATTGCTCAGCGAGGTGTCCGTACACCGCAGCATTGTGAATCCCCTAGTGGTGGTGGTGGTGCCTGTGGCGGAGGTGCTGGTGCTTCTAGCTCTGCTGCTGCAGCACCAAGTGTAGCGAAGCGTATTGCTTTCGCTTGTGTAGCGTTATCATCTTATGTCTTGTTGTCTATTCTAACTGTCTTCTGGACGAAGCATCTGGTTGGAGGGAAGGTTCCTATTCCTTTGTTTTTATCATGGGTTCAGCAAGCAGTAGGATTGGTGTTATATTCGGGTGTATCTGCAGCTGTAGCTGCTGTTTGTAACGATCGATGGGCGGTAAGTCGTGCGCTGCGTGCTGCCTTTCCTGTTGTTCAACTACGAGGTAAAATAGCATTAAATGTATTTCCTTTATCAATATGTTTTGTAGGGATGATTGGATCTGCAAATTTATGTTTACAGAGGGTACAGGTTAGCGTCTATCAGGTTGCCCGATCTTTAACTCTTGTATTTTCTTTACTTCTTTCTGTTTGCTGGCTTAAGCAAAGAGTTACAAAAGGAGAAGCAGCTGCATGCATTCTTGTAGCTCTAGGTTTTGCTTTAATGACAGCTGTGGGATCCGATCCCGCCTTCTTAAGCGGCTTCTTCTTAGGTGCTCTTGCTTCTCTCTTTCAAGCAACTTACACTGTACATATGAAGGCTACTCTATTATTTATTCAGCAGCAGACATGTCAGTACACCCCAAGCATCAGCAAAACAAACGCAGCATACCAAGCCCTTACAAACGATGCTGCAGCTAATGCAGCAGCAACAGACGACCCTCCACCAGACGCAGCAGCAACACCCAATGCAGCAGCAGCAGCAGCAGCAGCAGCAGCAGCAGCAACGAACACCGCGCCTTCATCACCATCTGAAGCAGCAGCGGCAGAAGATAAGCAGCACAAAAGAAATATAATGAATGCATCTTCTCCTAGAAATGCAATTGTAGATCTCGAGGCCTCTGGTGCTGCTGGCGCCCTCAGAGACGCAAAGTGGAGCTTCACTGAGTCGCCCGACAGCAGCAGCAGCAGCCTGCAGCAGCAGCAGCAGCAGCAGCAGCAACAGCAGCAGCAGGAGCAGCAGCAGGAAGGAAGGAAAGGGCGGCCTACGCGTTTATCTAATTTAGCAGAAATAGAATCTGTCTCCCCTTTAGTTGTGGCTGGGTCTCCTAAGCATGAAGAGGGTTTGAGAGAAGTAGAAGGAGGCTATAGATGTGCTGCTGCTTCTGCTTCTTCTTCTTCTGCTGCTGCTGCTGCTTCTGCTGCTCCTTCCGTTCGGCCCGAGCCTTTGTGCATGTTTTATAACATGCTAAATGCACTTGTCTTGTTCCCTGTTATTATTTTAATTTCTAACGAACCCCAAGTACTGCTGAAGTTAGCAGCAGAAACAAATGTAATGAACGCCGGGGTTGTTGTACATGTATTTGGATTAGGTAAGCATGCATGCATATCTTTTCCTTCTATCTTCTTCTTTTATTGCATTCATATATTTAACTTACTACTTTTCTTTTGTTCACCTTATGCATGCATAGAGTTCAGGTGTACACACAGATTACAGAGTGTATATATATACATCAATAGGTAGAGAAATATATATATATATATATATATATATATACAAATATATATGCATGTATGTATAAATATAAATACATATATCTATATACATATATAAATATAAATATAAATATAAATATAAATATAAATATAAATATATGTCAACATATATATATGTATGTATGTATATATAGATGCTTATTTCTATATATATATTTCTCTATACATATATAAGATATGCATATAAAGGTTTTTTTTCTTGTCTTTTTGTTTTGTTTGCATGTATGCATGCAGGAGTCGTAACATTTGTGCTGGGTACGAGTATCTTCTGGACAGTTTCTTTAACGTCTCCTCTTTCTTTTTCTGTTGCTGGATATGTAAAGACCCTGCTGCAAGTTGCTGTTGCAATGGCGGTGTGGGGTGAGAGGCTAACTCCTCTCGAGGCGTGCGGCTTCTGCCTCACCCTTGGGGGCTCGGCTTTCTATTCTATCTCCAGATGCAAAGCAAACACTAGATAGTTGTTGCTGCTGCTGCTGCTACTGCAGCAGCAGCAGCTGGTGCTGCAGCAGCAGAGGGTGCAGCAGCAGCTGGTGCTGCAGCAGCAGATGGCGCAGCTGCAGCAGCAGCAGATGGTGCAGCAGCAGCAGCAGCGGCAGCAGCTGGTGCTGCTGAGTTGCTGCAGTTGCTGCAGCTGCTGGTGCAGCTGCAGCAGGAGGGGGAGAAGCAGCAGCAGCAGAAGTAAGAAACTTCGCAAGAAATATCAGCAGCAACTGCATATGCAGAAGCAGCAGCAGCAAACAGAAGTACGTGAGGATTTCTCTTTGGCTTTTTTAACATCTCCAAATCGTCTAAGGAGGCGAGAGTTGGAGAACAAAAATAAATAATTGAATAAACATAAATGCTGCCTTAGTTGATCCTGCGTGAGTCCCTTCCCTTCATTCTGAGGTGTATGTACACCTCATCTCTTCTTTACTTTGTCACTTATTTCTTCTTTTTGTCCTCTTTTTGTTTCCAGCAAACAAAACAAGAAATATAAAACCGCTATTCTCTAGGCGGTTTCTGAATGCAGTGCACAGACAAACCTTTTTTCTCCTTTTGCAATTCAAAATATGCAAATGGATGCTTCAAGCCAGGCCAGGGTTTAGGGTTTCGGGTTTAGGGTTTAACGTTTAGGGTTTAGGGTTTAGGGTTTAGGGTTTGCAGCACTAAACCCTCCTCGTTATACCAGAGGCTAACAAAGACTCAAACCAAAAATGCATCACTAAAATACAGAATTTGCAAGAAATGTCGCAGGTCGTACATAAACAGCTGATGACTGAACGCAACGCCTATAAAATATATATATATATATATATATATGCATGCATATGCATATATATGTATATATACATATATATATATATATAT